TAACAAAGATTTGATAATATGTTTAGACAGAAATAATAATAAATATTTATTTTCAAAGAATTTTGTTCTATCTAAAATACAATTTTTAGAGATTTAAACTTCAAATTAAGAAATTAACAATATTATTAAAATATATATATATACATTTAATGCTCAGCAAGAAAATATTATGATATTTAGTTTTTCAATTATAATATATATATTTATTGATTATTATTAGAATTACTTTTAATTGATATTTAAAACTTAGATTTAATCTTATAAGATAATACTCTTTTCTTAAATCTATTACAAATATCAATTAACATAATAAAATTTGAGCAGAAAAAAACACTAATTTTCAAAATTAAACACTTGTAACTAACCTCCTTTCTTATTCTTCAGCTATTTACAAATTTTCTTTAGAATGATGAATTTAATCTATTTTAGGATTGAACTAAACTATAATTTAAGTTGATGAAAAATTTCATTAGAGATTGTTAGGATAATTTGTAAAAATAGGAATAAATGAGGATCAAGAATTTAGATTTTTATTTGAAAAGTGTTAAGACCAAAAATATAAATTACATTATATTATTCAATTGAACGATTGTGAAAAGTAAGTTTTTTATGTATTAACCTAAAATCAGAATAATTAAAAAAAATTAATATGAAAAAAAGATATTGAATATGATAGGAAATATTAATATATTAGAATAAAGATAAGATTTTTGAATTTTTAATAAATTTTAATTATGATATTCAATAAAATATTATAAATTAGGGAAAAAAAGTTTTTATATTTTCTAATTGATCAGATTTAAGCTACTCTTTAGTAAGAAAAGCTGAAGCTATTATTTAGTTTTTCCAATTACAAAAGGTATATAAAAAGATAAATGAAATATAAAAATAAATGAATGATTTTTATTATTGCAAAAATTTGATGGCAAAGAGATGTGATAGAAATTCTGAAGGAGAGTCTAAGAGAGTCAGATTACTATCGTCATGTTAGTATAGTCTTTAAATATATTACTCATAGCATATGAGATTGACTCTATATAGCCACTAATTCAGTTTCCTTCGTTTGTATGAGATTTTTGGTTTAATAGTGCTACCCGACATCTTAAATGGGAGAAGAAACCATAGAAAAAAAGATAAAATGGCTCTTTTGAATGTGGGGCAGGCTTTACAATAGATATAATACAATTTTTGCATTTTATAAACCTTATTGATAGTATTTCATATTTAGGAGTAGTTTATCAGCAACATCATTATTTGCTTTTGTTTTTTATCTGGGAAATTATCAAATAAATAAATAATGATTTTTCACAAAAGTTATTTTATTTATTAATTTTACTTTTGCCAAATTATATTGAGAATTATCAATATCTTAAGATTCACTGGTCTACCATCCAACTACTAGAGCAAATTACCTTCAAAATTAATGAATTTCTTACTATTGTAAAATGTTTGATAGGCCTAATTTAGTGAAGATATTGCTTTATATGATTTATTCATTATATAATGGATAAGCTAAAATATTTTAATTTTTCATCTCTAAAAATTAGATAACCCGTCTTCAATATTAGATTAATTCGATAAGAAATTTATAGAACAAACAAAATTTAATACAAGAATCTATGCTTATTTATGATGAGATATTCTATATTATTAAAAAATAAAGCAATATGAATGTTGAAATAAATTCTCAATAGCATAATTAACATCTACTACAATCAATTCCAAATCTACACAAAGTCCTAACTTCTATTTTACAGAAATGCACAATATACTTTTGTCGATTTTGCAGCATATAACTTCAAGTTAAAGTAATAGAAATTCATTATTAAAAATAAAAAAAGAAAATGGGGTGCTCTTTTTAAAAGTAGGGAGTTCTGGTTTAAAAAACACAACTTTCATTATTCCCTAAGCTTTTTCCAACTGGAGCTGACATCTTCGATGAAGTAAAAGATGTAGATAAAAAACTATTTGGTGTCATATTAGAAATATTAAGAAAGGAGAAAGTAAAAGATTGCATAGGATTTCTATCAGATATTAGGAATTGGAGACAATTAGAATCATAAATCTTATAACAAGCAGGGAATTTCACCAAAACTGATACATAATAGAAATTGTCTGTTGTAAGAAAAGACATGAAATTAATTACAGATGTCTTATAAAAATTAAAAGACCATGACTTAAATTAAAAAGACTTTTCATCTGAAGAAAATTAAGAATCTACATAAAATCTAATTAAGAGCATCAATGATAATAAATAGATCATAGAATTTTTGGAATTTTTAGTTGTCCTCACATCTTTAGATGACACTTTGATTCAATGTGGATCAAACTCATTACATTCATTAGTTTAAATGAGGGTGGACCTTAGAAACAAAAATTTTGAAAAAATTAAGATAAAAAATATTTCGTTACAAGGAGCTAATTTTGTTGGATGTAATTTTAGTGAATCCTAATTAAATAATGTCAACATAGGCGGAATAAATCTGAATGGAACATAATTATTTAATTGCAAATGGAGGGACTTAAAAATCCCTGAATTAAAAAAATTAAATGGTCATATTTATGAAATCTACTCAGTCTGTTTCTCTCCTGATGGAATTACAATAGCCTCTGGTAGTTCTGATAACTTTATCCGTTTATGGGATGTCAAAACAGGATAATAAAAAGCCAAATTAGATGGTCATCGTTTTGGTATCTACTCAGTTTGTTTTTCTCCAGATGGAAATACATTAGCTTCTGGTAGTCATGATTAGTCTATCCGTCTTTGGGATACTAAAACAAAAAAGAAAAAAGCCAAATTAATTTTTCATACTGACACTGTTTACTCAGTCTGTTTTTCTCCAGATGGAAATACATTAGCTTCTGGTAGTAATGATAAGTCTATCCGTCTATGGGATGTCAAAACAGGATAATAAAAAGCCAAATTAGATGGTCATACTAGTACTGTCTACTCAGTCTGTTTCTCTCCTGATGGAAATACATTAGCTTCTGGTAGTAATGATAAGTCTATCCGTCTATGGGATGTCAAAACAGGATAATAAAAAGCCAAATTAGATGGTCATACTAGTACTGTCTACTCAGTCTGTTTCTCTCCTGATGGAAATACATTAGCTTCTGGTAGTAATGATAAGTCTATCCGTCTATGGGATGTCAAAACAGGATAATAAAAAGCCAAATTAGATGGTCATACTAGTACTGTCTACTCAGTCTGTTTCTCTCCTGATGGAAATACATTAGCTTCTGGTAGTAATGATAAGTCTATCCGTCTATGGGATGTCAAAACAGGATAATAAAAAGCCAAATTAGATGGTCATACTAGTACTGTCTACTCAGTCTGTTTCTCTCCTGATGGAAATACATTAGCTTCTGGTAGTAATGATAAGTCTATCCGTCTATGGGATGTCAAAACAGGATAATAAAAAGCCAAATTAGATGGTCATACTAGTACTGTCTACTCAGTCTGTTTCTCTCCTGATGGAAATACATTAGCTTCTGGTAGTAATGATAAGTCTATCCGTCTATGGGATGTCAAAACAGGATAATAAAAAGCCAAATTAGATGGTCATACTAGTACTGTCTACTCAGTCTGTTTCTCTCCTGATGGAAATACATTAGCTTCTGGTAGTAATGATAAGTCTATCCGTCTATGGGATGTCAAAACAGGATAATAAAAAGCCAAATTAGATGGTCATACTAGTACTGTCTACTCAGTCTGTTTCTCTCCTGATGGAAATACATTAGCTTCTGGTAGTGATGATAAGTCTATCCGTCTATGGGATGTCAAAACAGGATAATAAAAAGCCAAATTAGATGGTCATCGTTTTGGTATCTACTCAGTCTGTTTCTCTCCAGATGGAAATACATTAGCTTCTGGTAGTCATGATTAGTCTATCCGTCTATGGGATGTCAAAACAGGATAATATAAAGCCAAATTAGATGGTCATACTAGTACTGTCTTCTCAGTCTGTTTCTCTCGTGATGGAAAACAATTAGCTTCTGGTAGTGGTGATAACTCTATCCGTCTTTGGGATGTAAAAACAGGAGAATAAAAAAGCAAACTAGATGGTCATACTAATTATGTCTACTCAATTTCTTAATCTCCTGATGGAAATACATTAGCTTCTGGAAGTAATGATATGTCTATCCTTCTATGGGATGTCAAAACAGGTTAATAAAAAAGTAAAGTAAATGGACATACTTGTACTGTCTTGTCAGTCTGTTTCTCTCCTGATGGAAATAAATTAGTTTCTGGTAGTAGTGATATGTCTATCCGTCTATGGGATCTCATAACAGGATAATAATAAGCCAAACTAGATGGTCATACTAGTGCTGTCTTCTCGGTCTGTTTCTCTCGTGATGGAAAAAAATTAGCTTCTGGTAGTGCTGATAAGTCTATCCGTATTTGGGATGTCAAAATAGGATAATAAATTGTTAAATTGGACGGTCATTCTCATATTGTCTTCTCAGTCTGTTTTTCTTCTTGTGGAAAAAAATTAGTTTCTGGTAGTGTTGATAGGTCTATCCGTCTTTGGGATGTCAAAACAGGATAATAAAAAGCCAAATTGGACGGTCAAACTGGTTATGTCTATTCAGTTTGTTTCTCTCCAGATGGAAAGACAATAGCCTCTGGTAGTTCTGATAACTCTATCTGTTTATGGGATGTCAAAACAGGATAATTAAAAACCAAATTAGATGGTCCTCGTTATGATATTTACTCAGTTTGTTATTCTCCAGATGGAAATACATTAGCTTCTGGAAGTGATGATTCATCTATTAGTCTATGGGATGTCAAAACAGGATAATAAAAAGCCAAATTAGATGGTCATACTCATTATGTCAACTCAGTCTGTTTCTCTCCTGATGGAAATACATTAGCTTCTGGTAGCGATGATAAGTCTATCCGTCTATGGGATGTCAAAACAGGTTAATAAAAAGTCAAATTAGATGGTCATCGTGATTCTGTTAGATCAGTCTGTATTTCTCCTGATGGAAATACATTAGCTTCTAGTAGTTATGATAAGTCTATCCGTCTATGGGATGTCAAAACAGGTGAATAAAAAGGCAGACATACTAGTACTGTCTAGTCAGTCTGTATTTCTCCTGATGGAAATACATTAGCTTCTAATAGTTATGATAAGTCTATCCGTCTATGGGATGTCAAAACAGGTTAATAAAAAGGAAAATTGGATGGTCATGGTAATTGTATTAACTCAGTCTGTTTCTCTCCTGATGGAAATACATTAATTTCTGGTAGTTCGGATAACTCTTTCTGTCTATGGGATGTCAAAACAGGATAAGTAATTAAATCATCTGATAAAAACTACAAAGATATTCTAGCTTAATTTAAGGCACCAATTTTTTAGAACAATCCTCAACTATGTATTTGTTATATTATTATTGCTTAGTCTCTAATCATTCAATTCTTGTCATATCACAAGACATAATATTGGAAGCATCAGGTACACTTATCTTATAAGGAGAATTTATAAACCATTAAGGAAAAGATATGAAACCTTTATTTAAATCTAAAGGAAGTTGCTTTTTAGAAGACTTAAAGCAAAAATGAATTTGATAATTTATCAAACAACAATTATAATTACAATAAATATCTAGTATCTAATATTTTTTTTAATTCCGTCTTTATTAGTTTCACTCTTAATCTTAACTTCTAAAGCTAGGTATTTCTTATTTTTTAAAGTTTTATTCGATTTCAGTCATTTGTTCAATTCATTTATTTAATATTATTAAAATATAAGATCAGTTCAGGATAGTTACTTATTTAAATATCATAAAAAATTTTATCAATTAAAATTAATAGAGATTTAAATTTAAATGATACTACATGAAATTAATAATCTAAACAGAGAACAGTAAATGAAGAGTTTAAAATAAAGATAGATATAATTACTTAAAGAAAAATAATTTTACACTATATTCTTTTTAAATTATCTACGATATTATATTATTTAGAATAGGGATTGTTATTAAAAATAATAAATTAATAATTTTTTAAGATTAAAGTTTAATTCATAAATCGTAAAAGATATATTTTATTAAAAAGATAGTAAAAAAGATACTTCAAGATTTCAAAAATAAACTTAATCTTTTAAATAATCTAACCTATCACAAAATTAAAACATTGAGATTGAATGATTTTTAAAATTACTCTAC